GGGGGGGGGTGGATGAAAGCGAGGGCCGAAGGCCCGAGGAAATTTTTAAATCTAGAGTCTCTGAAATGCCATTTCCTGGACTTGGGGGAATATTTGACAGAATTCTGATGGTCAGAATAAAACAGCGTTTTAGTATGTCGAAATTGACAATTTGGTAGTACTAAATGGGCGAAGGCGTATTTAATTAACTATACTTTGGATAACTAGTTACTAATCTCGCGCGTGGACAAAATTTCCGCGACACAGACCTAAAACTGAAGGGAGGGGGTTTCTCTTTGCACTGTTTATCAGTAGCGTTATCAATAAACATTGCTTTGAAGTTTGAATCTCACGAGAATGAGTGGTTCAAATTTGACTTCGAATTCCACTACCGCTAGTACCGATATCATTAATGGAACATTAACCAATCAGATACGTTTGATATATCCGATTAACTAACCAGACGCGTAATAAGCCAGTGAGAGGTGGTGGTCACCGGTCAGGGACCGCGGAGACGGGGGGGGGGGGGCTGGGGGGGCTTTAGCCCCCCCACTTTTTTTGACAGCCAAAATTATTAAAATAGAAATCTAAATGAAACTTTCTAAATTAATTAATTGGGGGTTTTATTGATGATTTAGCCCCCCCACTCTCTAATACGCTCCGCGGGCCCTGCCGGTAGTGGAAGTCAAATCTCTCCGATTAAGCAACGCGAACGACTTAATATTTAATTGATTTTAATTGAAATGTAATATTAATGTTACACCGTATAAATACATATATCCTGTACTATAGGTACTACTGATATGTTGAAAAATACTAATATATAATATGAAGAAATTAGGAAATATAACTGAAAGGAATGAAAGTTTATTGATAGATATGTTCCAGTTCTATTTCGTTATATTGTTTCATTCACATGATAATAAACACTGCTTTGTTTCACTCGAGAATGCACAGTTTCTACCAGAAGAGCAATAATTAACTTGAACGCGAACGACTTATTTCATTCATTTTAATTAAAGAGATATGGCAATAAAAATTAAGTTTACCTCATATCCATCGTTGGATATACGTGACGTCACAACTGGGGTAAAATTATTTTATACCTTGAACAATTCAATGGTTATTTTAATCAGCTAAATCCTATTTTTTAACTCCTGTCCATTTTAAATTAAAGCACAAGATATATATAAGCTTTCCCTTGGTATTATTTTTTCAAGTTCTAAAACGTCTACTCTGGTTGCAATTGTGACGTTATTTAATTTAATTAATTGTAAGTAATTAGCCAAACATAATTTTTTATGCCATTTTCCTTTAATTAAAATGTAATATTAATGTTACACCATATATACATACGTACATCTGTGGATGCTACATATATAGAAAAAATTACCAATATACCGAAGAAAGACTTGTGAATGTAGTAAAGATCAAAAGTAAAACGGGATGAAATGGACGTTTATTGCAAGAGTTGTCGCACTCTTTACGAGTGTCACGAGTATCTTTCGTCTCACTTTGGGTATTTTTGCACTCGTTGTTTTTACACGACAATAAACAATCCTTTGCCTGACAAGAGAATGTACAGTTACCACCGGGACACTTCATCGTACATGTCTCCACACCACGTGCACAGCTCATGTTACAATCACCCCCATAGCAATCTTGTTCACATGTTTTCACGTTTGTACCACATGACATCACGCATCCACTTCCAAAAGATTTTTGTATACAGAAACCGTTAATATTATCACATGATAAAACTGTGTTTGAAACATGAGATACCTGTTCACGACAGTCACTAGATAAACATTCGAGTTTGGATTTTTCAACATAAGTCTCCTGCCTACAGTGGTCACCATCGCAACGAAGTAAAGCACACATGGAATTATTAGCGCATGTCTGTGAACAAAATTTTGAATCACAAATTAAGTGTGTGCAATTTGCTTTGGGTTGACAAGTCTGGGAACAATAATCTTTGTTACCAAGACAACTTGCTAGACAACCATTTCCGTGACAGTATTGCAGACAGGTCTGAGATTGCACACATTCCAAAGAACAATCTGACTTGAGACATCTTTGTGTGCAAGTCGTGCTATCATAGCATCGCTGGTGACGACAGTGGTGACATGATTGTTGACAAGAGTGAGCAGCATTACATCTCATGTCATGACAAAATCCAGCTGTACAAGATTGGTCACAATCTGATGAATTGCATTTCATGGTTTGACATCCACTACAATATTGTACACATTTCTGCGTCGTTTCATCACATGCTAACTGAGTACATGAATTGTGGTAACATGATTGTTCACAGGTGCTCAACAAGGTGCCATTACAGCTCCACTTGGTGTCACATGGTTGTTTTAAGCAAGCTGCCCGGCATGTACTGTTTGTACCATCATCTGATACACATATACCTGCACCTGCTGATGTGGTGAACGGTAAAAACACAACCGTTATGAAGATAAGACACGAGTACATTTCTACCAATTATTTGATTACTCCTAAGATGATAATTTTTAGAAGAAATAGGACATGCGCACACCACACTTCAGATCCTAAAAAGAAACAAATAAGATCAAAGTTATACATGATAATAACTTCCAGTAGAAAACGGCTCACAGAAATATTCATTATTACTACGACAAACCTATATTTCATAGGTCTGTTGGCACACTCATATACCTATTTTTGAAGGTTTCTGAAATTTATTTATTTTTTTAAAATTGAGTTTAAAATAATTTAATTGTACACGTTGGTGATCTAACGAATTTACATCCACTAATAGTACATGTTCATATTGTCAGCGGACACCTGCCACAAAATTGGGAACACTGCAGCGTGAAAGACAAAGATTTTAATATTTCATCGGAAGTTGTTGTACTGCAATCCTGCCTGCCTACATCAGCCCTGTTGTAATGAAAGAAAATTCACTATATACTTCAATCAAGTCGTTTATAATATATAAACGTCGAGCCAACACTCGCAATTAAAAAGAGTGAAATGATGGAAAACATGCAGCACTGTCTATAGACCTTAGAAGTGCTTACGTCACGCAATTTTCAAAACAGAGGTCGTCTGGAATGCACAGTGGACCACAGTGGACTGTATTATGGGATACTTCTGGGTCCATTAAAAAACCTAAAGGCCCGTTTACACTTGCAATTTTTACTGCGATTGTCTTCTCCTGGTGTATGTGAACGAGTTAGAAATGTTTAGATGAGGGTACATATACTCAGAGAATTCATAACTTATTTACTCGATCACATCCACCAACGTATTCCCTCCTTTCCACTTAAAACCATTCTCAGACATCTTAATATTAATAAAAAATTAAATTATAATTTTCAAATTTTTAATTAGTTTCGCTGTTTTGTTTTAAATGCACGCGTTTGTTTTTACGTATTGGACCGCCGGTCCGTGACTGGAAAATAATGGCCGCTGAACGTGCTTCTCAGCCAATCACAGTCTGCCATTTTACCAGAAGTGATGTTTGCCATATAATAATCTCACTTGATCACGCTAAACTACTGGAAAACATTTACAACAGTCACTATAAACGAAAACGACAAAAAGCTTTGAATAGTGGAAGTTTTCAAGAATTCAAACGGCTCCGTAATTGCGTGAATCGGGAGCGAAGCGCGAAGGTCAAACATCTAAAAAGTTGCAAATCATCCGACTGGTGAAGAGAAGTCAAGAAATTGAGTGTAATGAACTCAGCTTTCAACTCCAAAAATGAGGTGTATAAGCCGCGCTAGAAAATCTGAGACGGCTACTAGTACCAAACATCTTGCCAATATATTATCAATGGAATTTTTCTTTCTCCCATGAGCGACTTCACAATCCTCATGGGAGAAAGAAAAATTCTTCTTTTCTTCCCATGAGTGACTTCTCCCCTTTAGCGAGTGACTTTTTCGCTTGTACAGATTTCGGCAGCGATGAACCTCCTTTTACGGTTACGGAGGAGGATTTTATGAAATTGTCAAAAGTGAATCAGCCAAGGCCAATGGTCCAGATGGGATACCCAGCTGGGTTCTGAAGGAAAATGCTGATCTACTGGCCGATCCTGTAAAAAAGATTTTGAACCTTTCGTATAGAGATAGCTATCTTCCGCAGTCTTGGAAAGAAGCGGATATTGTCCCTCTTCCAAAGCAGAAACCTGTAAAAGACGTGAATAAGCACCTACGCCCTCATTTCATTGACATCTGTTGTATCAAAGGTGGCGGAGGATTTCGTTGTCGAAAATTTTGTTAAACCTGCTGTCCTTAGAAAGATTGACAGAAATCAATTTGGGCGACTCCCAAATCATCAACGACTCATGCACTAATAAGCATGATACATAAGTAGAAAAAACCAAACGGACGGAAGCGGTTCTATGGTGTGGGTCGTTCTTTTTCATTTCAACTGAAAAAGCCTTTGACTTAATTGATCATGGTATAATTCTCGTAGACAAGCTTACTACCTTCGAAATACCAAAGCGAATCATTGGGTGGATCGTTAATGTTCTCAAAGACCGTAAACAGCGCGTCAAGTTAAGCCAAGATTGTTATTCTGAATGGGGTTTGGTTCCGGCAGGCGTGCCCCAAGGGACTAAATTGGGTCCTTGGCTTTTTGCTATAATGATAAATGACCTAGCTAGAAGTAGCGGATATAGATTTATGGAAGTATGTGGACGATACTACAATGTCCGAGACTGTCCTTAAACATGAAGCTAGTAGCATATCCAATCGTTGGTAGACGAGTTTACAAGGAAATTAACTGTAAATAAATTTCAGTTAAACGAAGAGAAATGCAAAGAGCTTCAAATTACCTTTGTAAGACCTGGGCGTACGTTTACATTCGTGTATGTTAATAATAGGCCGATCGAAGTTGTCCCTTCTGCAACTGACAATATTGGGCATGCGAGTTACGAACGATCTTAAATGGAATACCCACATCTCAGAGATTGTGAAGAAAGTTTCAACAAGACTATTCTTTCTTTGTCAACTAAAAAGAACAAAAATCTGTACAAAGGATTTACTAACATTTTACCTGACCTGTGTGCGTCCTGTGATGGAATACGCTTGTCCAGTTTTCCACGACTCCTTACCCAATTACCTATGCGAAGATCCGGAGAAGTTACAGAAGCGAGCCCTTCATATCATCTTCCCAACGTTACCTTACGCAGAAGCTTTGGTAGAAGCGGGAGTTGACTCATTACTTAATAGAAGACAAATTCTAACTACTAAACTACCCCCAAAAAGACCCTGGGTACGAGGATGCTAAACTATTTCACGACATTGCAAATGACGAAAGTCATAAGCTTTAGGCTACCAATTACTACCAATTACTACCAAGTAAGCACTTTTCAAATTATAATATGAGGAAAGAGAACATTTTTAACGTTTCTATTAGTAGGACGAATCGGAATAGATCAGTTTAAAAATAGTTTTATACAACATAATTCTACAATGTATTTTAGATAAAGTAAATATTTATTGTAAAGTTAGAAGCGTAATTCAACCCGTGGGTTGTCATTTTTTTATCTATCTATAATTTACGGGCTCAGTAACCGCGACGTCAAAAACAACTATTGCTATCAACGCAGCTTTTGCGTGGGACCTCGAGTGTCCGAATGAGGCTAAATTATAGCGTTGATCGATAGTTTATTAATTATCTAAGTAAGGCTATTAATTATCGTTTATCGATTGTTTATTGGACGTCAAGGCCGGATTGTTAAGAAGACGTCACGAGGTTATGCAATTGTACCTGTTGGGACATGCAAATATCACCTTACAAAATACATAACTGAAATAATAACATTAAATAGAACAATTTTAAAACAACCATGTGCAAGCGATAATATCACGCATGACTTGCGTGACATTTATAGCTGTTTTTACTGTAATCACATTATTGCAATGATTATAAACATTGCATTTATATATATCACGCAGCAGGGTTCCAGCGCCGGAACAATAGTAGCTTGTCAAAATCCCATACCTCTTTTGTCAATCACAACAATGTTGTTAAATTAATTTGCATGCAATAATTGTCTTATCATAAATTCGTGTTATACATAGTCAACTCTTGTGTGTTAGAATAGTGAAATATTTCTAACTTTGTAGTCGTATCATGCCTCAAATACGTATATAGAGTAATTAATTGTATAAAACATCACGGCACCTGCAAGCACACGCAACCCCCAAGTACACTTTATCTGTTGACATGTACATATTTAAAGGATTCTTTTACCAACATAAATTTGTGATCTACGTAATAACAATATAGAAAACTATTATATTATTTCTATCAGTTTTTACCAGATTGCAAGTCATAAGACGGACCGCCATCACGGGACAACTATTTAATATCATATATTGTGTACTTCGGCAGAACGCCAGAATATCTCACAACTATAAAGTATACTTCAATACGCTACCGACAATATAATTTTATAACTTACTAAGTATTAAAAACAATACAACTATGTTTTGTTTGTATCACATTACACAATGAAGGTATTAAATGCATTACCTGAGTTAGACGTACTCGTACACCAACCGGTTTCACCGTGGTTTCACAGATTTCGTATGTCGCAAATTAAATTTGCAATCTCGTGCCATCTCGTTTGTTTTTCTCGACCCATGACCTCGACCCATGACGGAGTTTCACTCGTTTCCAACCATCAAAGTGACGTTACGTCATTTGAGCAATTTCTAATTTTCTAAAGTTATTTTTTTTATTAATTTGGTTAGGGTTAGAGTTGGGGGTTAGCCGCAGGGCCCAAACCTTAGGGACGGACCATTATTTTTTTGGAGGGGGGGGGATGGAAAATTCTTAAAAAAATTGTTTGCAACGACAAAAAAGTGCAAATAAACTGTTTACACACATAGAGAAGAGGAAAGAATAGTTTGCAAGCTAATGAGATTATGCAACATCAACCAAGGTTTAATAACAATGAACAGAGCGCTCACCGACATACCCAGGGTCTTCACCCCAAAAGCTCTGGGATGGGAGACGCTGGGCACATGTCGCAATCTACATCTGGGTTATAAATATTAATCTATTGAATACAGTCATTTTTTGGTCTTTTTGGTTTGTTTCTTAAAATTTTCTTTTGTATTTTTTCGGTATAAAATAAGTAGTTGGACAAGTACTGGTGTAAGACGTTGTGTAGCGTAAATAATGAGAAGACCAGTCACCAGTATCAGGGCCTTTTTTAACATACAAGCCGGGGTGATGGGCAAATGCCCCCCAGTCCCCCTTATGCCCCCACAAAACTCACATTTAGAAGCAGTCCCTATACAAACAAACCAGCGAAAAATAACAAATAGATAAACGAAAAGTAAGTTTTAGGCTTTACAAAATCGATTTAAATTGTACTTAAATTCTACCACTAAGTAATGATAAATTATTGTTAATATTTTTTTTTATTTTTTGTGTGTTTTTTCCTTTTTTATTTCAAATACAAGTATATTTAGCATAAATTTTAGAGCAACTTTAAATGCTCAGAATGCAGGAAATGGCATTTCCGGGCTTCAAATTTCAAAAATTTTCTGGGGGAGTATGCCTCCAGACCCCCCTATTCATGCGTGGTATGTTGGCCATACAGGTGGCCTTCAGCCATTCGAGCCTATTCCCCTCTAATATATTTTCTCACAGAAAGGTCCCTTTTTCAAAAAATCCCCCCTCCCCCACCATCAGTATACCAAAAAAAAAACTATTAAATGTCTGTTTACATATTAAATTTATACTTCTGAGTTCTGACAACACCACATGTTGTTCACACATGCGATAGTGTAATCGGGCACAAATTAAACTATATATATATATCAATTTATAATGAAATACACAGCAATCAGATGGACAAAAAAATTGTTGCAGAAAAATATTGGTCTGTCCCTTATATAGCCATATAACACCTTTTCTATCTTCCGACAGTGACGTCATGTCAGTTTTGTGGTTGGAAATGAGTACTGACCTGCTGACCCTGACTCGTCTCCAGTCGTTTCTTTAGTTCCGAGTCTGCAATCCGATGGGTCCCTTGCTGCTTCCTCCCACGTCTTTTAATATACTCTCTCGTAGCAAAAATCTCGTAGCTGGAGCCATTAATAAAGATAATATTACCGAAAGCTCAGACGGGTACTGGCAAAGGGGTACTGCAAGGTGTACTTAACTTTATGTGTTGGTTTGGATGTGACCGTACACAAATAAGCTTGGGCCGCTTGTGGGTGAACATCAGGTGATCAGGGACGTAGCCAGTCCAAACGAGTGGGAGGTCTAATTGAACGGCCGTTCGTGGGCATTGACCATTGTCCCGAAACGCTATTTCATGATGATGCATTTTTGACACGTTTTATGATAACCTGCAAGCTACAGGTTTGGCATTTTATGCCACAGATGTAAACATTACGCGGTTACGGTCCCCTTAGTTTCTCCTAAGTTAGGAAAGAATTACAAAATGGTCCTGAAAGGGGGGTTGACCCTAAGGCAGGGCATCCTGCGGTGATGCTTCATTTAACCCTCGAGAGTGGCAAGCACAATGTTCCCGAGATTGTTGTCTAATTCCTAACATGAGATTATAGAGATTGAAGGAAAGTAAGGAGAAAATGCATATAGTATTATCACCCAGGAATAGGGAAATTGGGGTAGTAAAACAATAATTCAATTTATATAAAGAAAAGAATACTAATGAGACGGCATCTATTGTAGTCGTGTTTGAAGCTATTCAAAACACTTGTAGTCGTATTTTATCATATCTAATATGCTCGTGTTGCGCACTCGCAGATTAAATATGATAAAACACTCCTACGCGTGTTTCAAATAGTACATATGGCCACAGTTATATGGCCAAGGAGGTAAGGCGATATGGCATTCGCATGCGTGTTATACCCGTATTCTCCATAATATCATTCTCCATATAACAGGCATACTCAGACACTCTGGGGACAAGAATGAACAATACGTAAGAACCGAGCTTGTCTATAGCCTGCAATTTAGTTATTGGATTGGATGTCTGATAATAACAATACTGATAATTACAGCGCAGATTAAAAAATCATGCATTAAGACTACGATGGAGTAGATTGTGCCCAATTTGTGTTTTCGTCTCGACATTCCACCATTGCTGAGATAGCCCGCGTGCAGGCCCAAGGGAAGAATAGTGGGCCAGCAAGCATAGACTTGCTCCAAGTCTCTCTTTCATTGTCATCTAGTATCGATCCACTATAGTGTACATTACATCACGTAGCACGGAGAGGCGGAGCGAGAAAGAGAGACTTGTCAACTTCGGAAAATCTCGGTTCAAAACTGAACCGAAAATGCAAGACTTGCTTTAATTGTTTTCTGTCCGTGTTTATATGTATTGATCTAGCACAGTGTAAATAACATGTAATAATATAGTAAATAATACAGAAAGAAATTGAAGGATAATTTTAAAACAATTAAAGCAAGTCTTGCATTTTCGGTTCAGTTTTGAACCGAGATTTTCCGAAGTTGACAAGTCTCTCTTTCTCGCTCCGCCTCTCCGTGCTACGTCATGTAATGTACACTATAGTGGATCGATACTAAATGACAATGAAAGAGAGACTTGGAGCAAGTCTACAGCAAGCAAGGCCTGGTATTTTGTACTTTCCGCGTTCGTGGGAACGCAGCATTCTGATTGGTTGTTTGCTGTTGGATTTTATAATTAGATCAATGATTCATCACAAATGCTCTCGATAAGCTTAAAATTCGAAATGATCACTTTTTTCGATTAAAAATGGAACAAGAACAGACTGTTTATTTTTTACTTGATGGAAGAGATGTTTTTGCCGTTATGCCAATGGGGATTGCTTGTCGTGAAGTGTTGGAATAGCAACATTACGACTGGGGTAAACTATAGTAACCTTTACTTGAGTTTCATTAATTTCAAACAGACTTGATACGTTATGGGCCTGCACGCGGGCTATTGCTGAGATGAATAAATGAATGCACAACCTTTCGACGTGAGAAAAGCAGTTTTCGCTCCATATTGTGCCTGGGAACAGGTCTCTGTGTTTATGGATTCCTTGGGTTTTCAGTCAAGCCGGGTTTATCCCAGATCAGTTCACGTTGTATGAATCGAGATATGGTTAAGTTGGTTGCGGGTTATACTCATTTATAACTATTGTGTTAAAATATTGAATATTACTTGGTAAAAAGCAGCGGATTAATAGGGGTACAACCACAGGAGAACTTCGACGTTTCGAGCGAAGGCCCTTTGTCGGGAAGTTAGCAGTTGTATCCCTACCAGGGAGCTTAAGATTCACCAAATCTATGACGCGGACGTGACGAAAAAATGCCGCTATTATCACAGTTTCACTTCACGGGTAAAAGCTATGGATTGTTGTTGGTAAACAAAGCCAGTGACACGAGAAAAGCAAAGTAAAACTAGTCTCCAATTATTAACGACTGTCTTTTAGTCGCGTCCGCGTCGCAGATTTGGTGCATCTTAACCTACTACTCACAGTGGCACAGACCGTTCAAGATTAATTTGAATTGGTAACTTTTCAAGTGTTGCTCCTGCTAAATTTTTCATACTTGGCAACCTTAGACTTAACACAGTAGTCCGAGCAGGCATGGGAAGGAGGTTTCGAGAACTGTAATCTAAAAGATTGCAGTATAAATTAGGTGATAACAAATAATATATATAAAACACTAAATATAGAAACATTGAACCCTTCCAAATATACACGATAATCAAAATTTAATAAAAAATACTATCTGAAAGACAATACTGAAAGCATCTATTGTTCAAGAAAGGTCCAATATCAGGTCAACAATGTCTTTTTTCTCTGGAGTTCGATTTCTTCTATTTTGGAAGTAATTCAGAGTGTATTTAGCGCTCCCGGATCAGTGATATTCTCTCATTTTCCTGCAGTGATGTTTCTTGCGGGACATGATGACATAGTTTAGGAGAATGTCACGTGTGTATGTTGAAATGTTTTGCAAGTTCATTCAAGTCTTCTTGATCTTCTTCCGACATTATTATCTAAAAAGAAACACAATAAAGAAAATATTGGTTATCTGTTAAGTGGTGAAGTGGTTAAGTGGCAATTTAGCCAACTAGGTAAAGTTTACGTTTAAGGGACTGTTCGAGACGGTACCTGGGCTGGCTGGCGAGATCCGGGTATTGTTATTATTTTCTATTAAATTTCATGTTGTGTTTATGTGAGGACCGGACTGGGCCGCCATAAGCAAGCTATCCCACGGGTAACCGGGCTCCTTCGCGTCAATATAAACAGCGGCTAAGAAAAATAAGATCTCACTTAAGGTGACTCGGTGGATGTGGATTTCATGGAGAGTTATGGCAAAAAAAAATATTACGAATTTTCACATTTTCCTATCTTGAAAAATTTCGGCATAACAGATTTTTTTAAAAATTAGAAAAATAATTCAACTAAATAACCAATAGAAATTATTTAGTTATTGTGTCATGCCAGTCAGATACTCTTTGTTTTTAAACAAGTAATAATTGTTCAGAAAATCCTATCCAAATCAGAAAATCTTTCATTTAAAAAAGTGCAGGGAGCCACCTTAATAAGAACATCAGAGCGCCCCGTGTACGAAAATGTATCGCCGGAAAGGGAAAGCCCACTCATGTCATTTAATATTCTAGGATTATGAACATCTGTTACTTTTTACTTCTGACAATAACTGACAATAACAGGGCTGCAAATTACTGTCGGACATCGGACAATGTCCGACTAAATTTGGCAAATGTC